TGTGTGTGTGTGTGTGTGTGTGTGTGTGTGTGTGTGTGTGGTTCTGTGGAGAGAACAATGCACCAGCACTATCAGGATTTAAATGTATCTCTATTGTGGAAGCAAGGAGTTTTATTGATATTGAATGTACCCCGTGTCTAAATCATACCAAATTTGACACTGCACATCTTCGGGCCCTTAGCAATACACATGCCAAGTGTGAAGGGGACAAGATTAACGGATTGCCAGTTTTGGCTGTGTGGGTCAGTTTGAATGGTTACCCTCATATCTGCTTCTGCAAATCTCCCCCTTCCAGCTCTAATGGCTGCAACTCCTCATTAAACCTAAGGAAGCTTACTTGGAGAATTTCATGTCCACATCAGACAAGAGTTTACCTCATTGTAAAAGAGCATTTTCAGTATGTACATGCAACTTTCTATATTCCATATAGCATTTCATCATTGTTAAGGTTAGGTATGTTTTTGGTTACGACTTCAACCTCCTCTCGCTCATCCTCCAGCTCTTTTATGGCTTCCACAAACTTTGTTAATGAAAGTTGGAACTTTTGAGTTCAACTTGATCCTATTCCTCTCTTATTCCAGTCCCCTGCAGCCATGGCGGCTTTTTATTGGCACAGACAATAAAGCCAAAGTTTGACCCTAGAGAGGAATAATAAGCGAGAAGAGCTTCAGTGGAGATATTAAGAGGTGATAAATCATCAAGCTAAATAGTGGAACAATAAAACTGCTCTGGCATTTGTTTCTTGAAAAAGGGCAAGAAGTCAATTCTGGGAGTCGGTAGCTGGCAAACGACTGGTTGTATAATTGGTGGGATTAATCAACCCTCACATCATCCATGTACACACTTACATTACCATTGTTTTGTGCTGTGGGACCACAAACCTCTCATCACCTCTTTTACTTGCCGTCAATTATTATCTTTCTTTTTGTAAAACATTGGATCTTTAGATTTGTTTTAAGACCTGTTCTGGAGATAAATGCAATGTGTGTGTGTGTGTGTGTGTGTGTGTGTGTGTGTGTGTGTCTTGGTTGGAGTTCAAATTTGACAACATTTGGTTTCTCTCCTCCCTCTCTGTCAGGCTGGCTCATCTAAACCAAGGCAAGAAGATTGAGAAGACTGTCTCCATCATGGCCTCTTCACTGGGCACCAAAATACTGATGGCCACGTTCTCGCACAGCAACAGCCCCACCGTCATGTCCAGGAGCTATCACAAAGTCACCATCACAGCATAGGGAGAGGTCCATCCTCCTAAAAGACTCATCAACTTCCTGAACCTTCTGTGTACAGTCAAACCAATAGCACACACTTATTGGATTGCACTGAGATTGGACGCATGGCATGTTTTTTTAATACTACCTTATAATTATTATTATTAGTTTTATGTTGTAGCTTATCAGGTAGAATGAACTAGAAACATGAAACATTTGAACATTAGAACAAACCATGTTGATGTCATATGTGGTTCTCGGTGACACTACAATCCAAAGCGTGTGTGTTTGTCATAACACAAATCAGTCTGTGAATCAGACATTGATTGTCCATATGCAGGATATATTTCACATAATTTGTGAACCACATGTGTAAAACTATTTTTAAATCACTCAGTAGTTACAAACTTGTGCATGAGCCTGGTGCAAATTGTCCCATGAATAACTGATTTAGTCCATCATAACAAAACTTCCCAATGCCACAAGTCCTTACCAGATTAAAATAGAGCCCTGTGTCATTGTGGCCTCAATTATTTAAGTGTTTATATTTCTGGAATTGCTCCTCTGTCACATTTCATGCAGTTTGCATTGAAATGCATCATAACTTACAGAAGCTGTCCCTTCACCGATATTAAATATAAGTAATTCTACACAAACATAATTTATGTGTAGTTTATCAAGATATTTAAGTTGTGTCAATGAGCATATAGTATTTGTGTACTTTGCTGTGCAGTGCATGTTATTGTATATACATGTCTTATTTTAGAGATTTATTACAAGCTTATACTTATACAACATGTTTTGTGTTAAATATGTTTGCATCAGTGGTGTATTTGTTAGTGGTGGGATGTAAAAAAAAAAAAAATTACTTAGTTACTACATTAAAGAAAAAAGTCAAAATTGCTATACCACAAAATGCCACCAGGTAGCAGCATTGGAGCATCCAATTATATGTACATCTGATGTTTTCTTCTTGCATATCACGAAAACGTTTTGTTCCATGTTTTTATTTTTATTTTATTTCAGTCAACCCAGCCAGGCCATGTGATATTACTCACGAAATTAAAGGGTTAAGTCTAAACTAAAAGAAAAATGCAGGGATCAACTTGTTTATGTCTTTGAGATATTCTTTTTTTAGACCCACTTGGGAGATGTACTGTGTTAAAGCAGCAAAAGGGAACAGTCAAATACTATTAAAGAAATTCAATAAGTTTAAAAAAAAATGCAATGTAAACCCAAGTAACTATGACACATATTAGAATATGCACAATGTAAACAACATACAAACAGTGTAACAGTATTGCACATATTTAGTGTTGCAAGTGCAATAGAAAATGATTATTGCACCGTTAAATCAGTTGAAAAAAGTGAGACACTGAAGGTGTACATGGTCGACTGAGTGCTCAGGCCAATTCTTTACCACTTGTCTGCAGCCAGAGACACGAGTCTGCCTCTGTGATGTTGCAAGTTTGAACTATTAACCACTTTTTTCCACAATTAACCACCAGTTTACTGTTTAATTACTAACCCTTCCAAAGATTAAGGGGATAGGGAAAACAACCCACTCACATCCTAATGATGTCAGTCTCATGATGATGAGACTGACGAGAAGTGTTGAGCCAGTTCACACCTAAAAAGAACTAGTTCAGTTCATTTGTTCTGTTTTTTATTGGGATTATTTAGATGATGCTCATGTGTTTGGTTATTAATCGCTGGTGTCGGATCATGAATCTGTGTTGCTCCGGTCACTCAATCACTGAGTCCTGTGTGTGTGTCGCCTCTCATGATGTACTGAGCACACACATTATGTGGGTGATTCATTTTTCATGATGTTTAAATGCAGCCTCCTAAACTCTGGAATTAAACAGACAATGAGTTACTTCATGTCCTGATCAGGTCCTGGTAATGAGTGATGAGAGTTTATTAGTAAATGAGAGCGGGTCAGAGAGGAGGAGGAAACAGAAACTCCAGCTCGGTACAAACCAACTGCAGCTTCTGCTCTGATCACTGAGCAGATGTGACCAGAGAAACTCTGTGTTTCACTGTTTCCACTGTTCTTCAACAAAGTCTCTGACCTGCTGCTTCACGTGAACGAGCTCTGATCTCACTGAGTGTGTCTCTCTGAGTGAGTGAGTGGGAGCGGGGGCCCAGAGCCTCTGTTTACAAGTTGGACTTTCTTAGATAAATAAGGATTGAAAAAGGTGGAGAACAACGTATGCGGAGGGTCCGATGCCTGTGTTCGCCTTGGGCCCCCAAATTGCTAAATCCGCCACTGGTCAGTTCAGCAGTGCAATTACAGAAATATACGTAAAGAGCACATAATAACTAAATCAAATATGATAATCCTGTATACATTAGATGATACAAGTGTAAAACCTTTCTCGTCCTGTGTCAAGTTACTTCAGAATGTTTCCTTGTCATTACTGAGTCCTCCTCAAACAGTTCTACAATATACTATATACAATTTTTTATTGTTTGTGTGGTGGATGTTGTGTTTAGAGTTTTTCATCAACAGTCTATGGTGCAGAGTGAAGTTAGAAAACATTGTGTTCATCCTACCAGGTTTATCTGCTGTGAAGATTTTATAAATCATAAATTAAACTGTTCACATGACACAATCCATAGACCAAAGTTTACAACTTTTCAAAATAAAAGCTCTGTAATTCAACTCAATAAAACATTCCAGCAACACAACCAGAATTGTGCTTATTTTACTTTGTAAAACTGATAAACATGAATTGAGTCTTTGAATGTTTTTGCTGTGACAAAGATCAGCACATGCAGTACCTGCAAATGTGTGTCAGTCTGATATGATGACAGATGTAGAAGAAGACACATTAAGCTCGTTCCGCAGACTGTTAGCACACTGCCCTGCCTCCACTGACTGCTACAGAGCGCTGGTCCCATGTTTATTCAAATGTTATTAATATTGAACATATTGTGTCTAAAAGGCACCAAATGTGACACAGCATTTCCCTGGGCCAATAAGATTACACATGCCAAGTCTGAGGCCGAAGAGATAAACAGGTCGCAAGATTTGACCGACAGACATTTGTGGAATTAGAATGAATCACTGAAAGAGAAGCTGGTTCCATACAAGTGAAATTCTGTCCCCTGTCCAGACACAGGCCCATCACCATCTGTAAACCACACTGACAGACCTCAGACACATTACTGCACATCTCACACTTCTCCCTGTCAATATATCTGCCTCATACATAAAGAATATCTCGGGTCGGAGTAAGGATATTCATTTTCAGGCTGTTCTGAGAGGTTCAGAGATGATTCATGACAGACATGTCCTGTATATACTGTGTGTGTATAGGTGCTGCTTACAGACGAGGATTGTTTTAACCTGAACGATTCCTGGCTGACGCTCAGCACAGCTTGTGATCCTATACCTTGGTGTCAGGGAGTCTGAGGCGGAGGCGTTGGCAGACGGAGACGATAATCAGACTCCACGCTCGCTGATTTTCAGACAAATTAAACGTCAGGGGAAAGCAGAGAGCGGGACCGCTGGGCCGCTTTGAAAAGCTGAGGCCATCATAAATTATTAATGGCTCCCCGTCACCGCCTTCCTTTCGTCATCCCTCGCTCTTTACAACCATCCCCTGCTCCATCCATCCCTCTTTCCTGGTTCCTTAGCATTGATTGCATTTCTTTCTTTCTTTCTTTCTTTCTTCCATCCATCCATCCATCCATCTCTCCTGGTTACTTGGTGTTGATTGAATTTCTTTCTTTCTTTCTTTCCATCCTCTATTAATTCTACCCTTCCTTTTGACTCTACTGATTTCCCTCCCTCCCAATCCATCTGCTCTTCATTATCTTTTCCTCCTATCCTTCTTGATCATCTTTTCCTCCTCCTCTGTAAACTGTCTTTCCTCTTGTTTCGTCATTGTTTCTCCATCACCTCTTACACCCCCTCCCCTTCTTCATCCCTTCATGTCCTAACTCATCTATAGCACACTCCTGAGTAGTGGAGTTACGGGACTTTTTTCACTGACTAGTTTTAATAGACCCACATGTTTTTTTAATCACGGAGAGACTGACTTTTTAGATCTTTTCTTTTGAAACAAGAAATGTAGCAGAGCTATTACGGCCCACAAGACTTGCATGGCGGATTATTTTCAATGTTGTAGATCACAATTCTGTTGTGATGTTTTGAATATCTGAACAAATTTTAGAATTTATGTCAAGACGGGCTATGTCTCTCCAGTTCCTCTCACTGTACAAAATTGCAGCCAAAATTCCCTGGATACAGGTATTGCCATTTGGAGCCAGAGTCTGCACAGTAGTTATGATGGAGTGGAGCCACAATGTTATTTTAGTTCAGTTCATGTTGGAGGTGGGGTTTATGACCTGCACTGCAGTCAGCCACTAGGGGGCAATCGAGATGGTTTGGCTTCACTTTGTAGGGGTGGTCATGTCATCTATCTTTGTGTACGGTCTATGGTCCAAATATAGATGACAGTAGTGTTGACACAAAAGCCAGCTTGTGGTTTAGGAGGTACACAAGGTCGCCCAGTCACAAGACGGTCAGTAATTTGATCCCCAGCACATTGTGTCTGCATTCTGAAGTGTCCTTGGGCAAGATACTGATGGCCATGCTGACAGTGTATGAATGGTGTGTAATAGAAAAAGTGATGTGAATGGTAAAGCACTTTGAGTTGTCAATAAGACTAGGGAAGCTTCATATAATTCATATTTAACAGAAATGCTGAACTTCCATTCATTGTAGTTTTGGGGTTTATTCTACAGTGTCAGAACATTGGTTTCCCCCTCTTCCTGTGTTTTCCTTTAGTTTCCCTCCTGGTGTTTTATGTGTGTGTGTGGCTTGCTGGTTCCTTCTCCTACCGTTTCCACTTGTACACCTTGATCGTACAATCATCTCAACCATCTCCTGCAGTTAAACCCCAAAGCTGATTCAAGTCCTCATCTCTCTGCCTGTTTGTTTTATGTTCTTCACTAATCCTTTCCTCAGCTTGTGCCTCAGAATCATTAGTCTCATGTCTCCCTCCAAACCTGTTACATCTAGCAACAGCCCATTTGGATGTCAGTGCCCCAGTTCGTCCTGCCCAGTCTCTTGTCCCACAGGTGGCTCAGACCCACCGCTCTGCTCTCCTGCTTGCCCGGCTCCACCATTCCTTCCTTTCAGCCAAATCAGAGTCTGACAACCTGCCAGCTAAGCCACCAAACCCATCTGCATGCCTCTTAGAATAAAGCATTTTCACCTTGTTCCCCCTGCCCCCTGCCTGTCTTTGAACTTTGTATCCAGAAGATGGAACTGTTGTAAACAGGAAGACATTACATGAAAAAAAAAATCTATTTGGATTAATGTTAAAATACTAAAATAGTGTAAAAATTCATTTGTTCAAAATTTCAAGGGTTAAATTTCTCCTCACACTGATCGGGAGGACGGTTGGGGACTGGACAAAACAGCTGTGTGTTGTGTGCGTTTTGCGCAATGTGTGAAGGGTAAATGCTTCACTTCCTGCAACCGTCACACAACGCCAAACCACGCCCACCAATCACGCATCATAGTCCATCAAGTGCAGATCACAAGTAAATCAAATTAAAGTTATAAAACGAGACTTACTTCCTGTTACTACATACAGACAAATACATCTGTTCAGGTCAGGGCTCTGATGAAGTGTGACCAATTTGAGGCCAATTGAACAATGTACAGTAGAGTTAAATACAACTTCCTGTTTCATCAATAAGTGGCCTGATGACCCTGACTAAATTTGGACACATGGAGCTGTTCAGGCCGTGTCGACCATGGTTCTATATCAACTAAAATAAACAACATTGCCTGCATTAGAGCGTGGACATGAATAATCCTCAGAGAAATCAACAGAATTTAGAAAAACGGCCTAAAGAGAAAAAGTCCTGGAAATCATGACCATAAACCCTGCCTTCCAAACACAGAAGTTTCAGGTTATCTGTGTTGTGTTGGTCATCAAAATGTTAACTGACATGCAGTCTTAGCTTATATGATCCACCTTCGTCCACCAGTGTCTTTAGTTCAAATTTAAGATAATTTCTCAATAAGTCAGATAGTTCTG